ATGTGATTCTGCAATCTGTATTTGGGGTAAAAATGGGAATTCATAATCCACTTGAATCTAATGTATGAAATATGATATGTCAAGAGCTTTGTAATGTTTTGAACAACCAATAAAAAAAAGAAAAAAAGAAGAAAAAAAGAAAAAGCATTCAACAAAATACATCATCCATACATGTTCAAAACACTAGAAACTAGGAATAACAGGAACATATCTCAACATTATAAAAGCTATCTATGCTATGCCCTAGGCCAACATAATTCTAAATGGAGAAAAAATGAAAGCTTCCCTCTAAAAATGGGAACAAGACAGGGATGCCTTCTTTCACCACTTCTATTTAATATAGTTCTTGAATCACTAGCCAGAGCAATTAGACAGACAAAAGAAGTTAAAGGGATATGGAAATAAAAAGAAGAACTCAAAACTATTTGCTGATATGATTCTAATCCTAGAAGACCCAAAACTTTCTACCAGAAAACTTCTAGAACTAGTAAATAAATTCAGTAAAGTAACAGGATACAAATCAACACCCATAAATCAAAGGCATTTCTGTATGTCAGTGACAAATCGAAGAAAGGGAAATGAGGAAAACTATCCCATTACAATAGCCCTCCCAAAATAAACAAATAAATAAAATACTTGAGATTCAACTTAACAAAAGAGGTGAAAAATCTCTATAATGAAAACTACAAAACCCTAAAGAAAGAAATTAAAGAAGATCTTAGAAGATGGAAAGATCTCCCTTGTTCTTAGAAAGGCAGAATTAATATTATCAAYATGATCATAACTCTCTACAGATTTAATGCAATTCCAAAAACACTATACAGATTTAATGCAATTCCAATCAAAATCCCAATGACATTCCTCATAGAAATAGAAAAAGCAGTCATAAAATTCATTTGGAAAAATAAGAGACCCAGAATAGCTAAAGCAATCTTTATCAAGAAGAGTGAAGCAGGGGCATCACTATACCATACCTCAAACTATACTACAGAGCAATAGTAACAAAAACAGCATGGTATTGGCACCAAAAYAGACTAGTAGACCAATAGTACAGAACAGAGGACACAGAGACCAACCCACATAATTACAGTTATCTTATATTAGACAAAGGTGCCAAAAAATATACTTTKGAGAAAAGACAACCTCTTCAACAAATGGTGCTGGAGAAACTAGAAATCCATATGCAACAAAATGAAATTAAGCCCCTATCACCATGCACAAAACTCAATTCAAAGTGGACCAAGGACCTAGGAATTAAACCAGAGACTCTGTGTTCAATAGAAGAAAAAGTAGGCCCTAATCTTCATCATGTATGATTAGGCCCCAACTTTCTTAATAAGATCCTATAGCGTAGGAATTAATATAAAAAATCAATAAATGTGATGGATTCAAACTAAAAAGCTTCTTCTCAGCAAGAGAAAAAACCAGTGAGGTGAATAGAGAGCCTACAATTTTGGAACAAATTTTTCCACACACACATCAGATAGAGCACTAATCTTTAGGATATATAAAGAACTCAATCCCCCAAAAAACAAATGCTGAGTGTGTTCTCTGATTAAGGATGCTGATTCATAATGTGATGAGGTGGTGGTGGGTGCATGGGAGGATTAGATGAACTCTAGATAGGGCAAAGGGGAGGGAGAGGAAGGTAGTGKGCATGGGGGGAGGAAAGATGGTGGAATGAGATGGACATCAGTACCAATATACATGTATGAAGACACAAATTGTGTGACTACTTTCGCTGATTCCAATAGATGCATTTTGCTCAACCACCCACAGGAGGGGCACYACATACTTCCATATGTTCTGAGGGATTGGCTATAGTTATTAACAACACTAAAAATTTATCCACATATGTTAATTCCTATCTCAATTAGCACTTCTCTAAAACTAATTATAAGAATGGCTGAATTAAATAATTACTAGAATGATAACAGATTTACTCATTGTATAATCACTGAAAATTCCATTATGTACAACTTAAAAAAAAAACATTCATGACATGAAACAATTCTTAACTTAAAAGAAATTAACTTTAGGATACTACTATCTAGAAAATAAGCCAAAAAATATTGCTTTGTCTAAAGTGAATGTGATTTTAAATGACAGATCAGATATTTCTATAAAGGATTTTAAATTGTAATCCTTTTCCCTTTAATCATATTTATTTATTTCCTGGTACAGGAATATGATATTAAGACCAYCAAAAAATAAACTGTACAATACTTATATAGCAAAAAGAACACAGAGTTTTCTGCTGAGGAGAAACTGAAGGTAGAGTGTGCCAGGATACTTAGGCATAGATTCCTTTCTCCATCAGCCTTGCCATCTGCTATGATCTCAAAGTTGGTGTACCCCCAAATCCATACATAGGCATCTAATACCCAATGTGACTGTATTAAGAGGTAGGGTATTTGTGAAATGCGTAAGTCATATGGGTTCTGTCCTTCTGAATGAGATTAGTGTCCTTTAGAAAGATGTTGAAGAATCTAGCTTGCTCCCTTTTCTATTATGCAACAATGCAGTAAAAAAATGCCATTCTTGAAGCAGAGAGAAAGCCCACACCAGACAATGAACCAGATGGCCCTGACCTTGGATTTCCCTAACTTGAGAACTGTGAAAAATAAATTCATACTACTTATCAATTAACTCAAATTAAGATATTTTATTACAGCATTTTTCAATGGCTAAGACACCATCACAACAACTGGTCCCAAAACTAGGACAGCTCTATATTTGTAAACACTCAAATCCTCTGTGGATTTCATTTTTTAWTTTCATTTTTTAAAATATCACTGCCTGTATACCATCAGATCATATGAAAGTTAAATGAACAGAGTTCAGTTCTTCCCTAATCAATTAATCCTGCAAGTAACTACTATGTGTGGTTCTCACACACTTGCTTATTCAGGATCTTACCGAGGCTCTTATCWTTGCCCCCTTCGTGAAGTTTGAATTTCTCTAATGAATTGTAATCATTTTTTTTTCTTCTGTGCTGCTGGGAATTGAATCCAGGACCTTTATCTAGTCCCGAATTGGTGTGAAAACACTTTGTATACAACCAGAGATGAAAAATTATGCTCTATATGTCTAATGTGAATTGTAACACATTCTGCTGTAATATATAAATTAAAAATGAATAAAAAGAAGCTTGATTCCTTACCCACATTTACATACCATTATTCTCTTAAAATATAGTTTCTCCTACAATTAACAATTTATTTTTCTATTGACTATTTTTAATTTTATAACAAAGAACACAAATATAAAACATGGTTTCAAGTGAACAATCACTTTTATATTATAGTTTTATATTATAGTTTTCAAAAAATCTAGCTTATATTGGTAGAAAAACTTTCTTTTTTTGTTAGAGCTTTTTTCCTACTTTATTCAGATAAAATTAATTTAAAAATTAAGTTTTCAGAAAATTAGTTTCAGGTGTGGTGGTGCACGCCTATAATCCCAACAGCTCAGGAGGATGAGGCAAAAGGACCACAGCCTCAGCAACTTAGTGAGTTGGTAAGCAACCTAGTGAGACCCTGTGTCAAAATAAAAAGGACTGCGGATGTGACTTGGTGGTTAAGTACCCTTGGGTTCAATCTCTAATTCAAAAAAAAAAAAAAGCAATGCACTCACCACTTCCACTGATTACATCAGGTTTGGCCTTCATCATTTTGCAAAATTGTTTTTGGCAATTTTCTATCCACTCAGTTTGTTCATCAGACATTTTGAAGAGTAATAATAGCTTGCCAAGATCATTGTCTAATAAAAAAGAAAAGATATAACAGTATTATAATTCAACACACTAGATATATTCATCTGTAGATATTAATGTTAAATATGTAAAGAGCTGCAATTTACAGAAAAGTTCTGTTTGTGGCTTTCAAAGAAATATTTCTGTAATTACATTTTATCTACTATCAATTGATATTTACCACATTTACTAAATGCTTATAAAATGGATTACTGATTTATTAAAAGTTCATATAATGGATTGTTACTTTGTAAGCATAAATCTTTAATAGTCTTTCTCTTATATCAATGTTTCATTACTTAGTATCCAGTTTAACAGTGTGAAACTTAAGATTTCATTCCATGGGGCTGCCATGAACATTATACTCATTTGTCATGCACATTCAAGTGCAATTTTATTCTTATGTCTTTGAAAGTAAAAAGAAAGCATAAATGTGTAAGATCTCTAGTCAATCATTTAGATCCTCTTCTTGAAAAAACAAACTGATGAAGATATTAAAATATTCTATTCAGGCTCACTGTTTATTTAAGTGTACAAATTTTATGCTTTATATATCAATTACATAAATTTCAGTCAAATACAAAATATATGTGGAGTTCCTTCCATGTGGTTATAATAATTCACATATTACTGCCTTCATAAAACTTCTGTCTTTTAAAGCATTTGTGCCCATGTGCCCATGTGCACATATAGAAAGTCCCCTCTTGACCATGAGAGATATGTTCCTAAACCTCTAGTGGATAGCTGAAACCATGGACAATACCAAGACCTATATATAAATACTTTTTCCTATATATACCTACTTATGACAAAGTTTAATTTATAAATTAGGTAGAGTAAGAGATTAAAAACAACTAATAATAAAATAGAAGAATAAGAATTCAGTGTAACAAAATGCCAGTATCACTGCTCTTGTATTTTAACAAGACTTAATTTACAATTAAGTAAAATAAAGATTATTTGAATACAATCACTATGACACTGCAACAGTTGATTTGATAACCAGAATGGCAACTAAGCAACTAAAGGACAAGTAGCATATGCAGGGTGGATAAGGAAGAAAAAAAGGTGATCCACAACCAGGTAGGACAGAGTGGGACAGAGGGGGATTTCATCACCTACTCATAATAGCATAAAGTTTAAAATTTATATTCATTTCTGGAAATTTTCTGTTTAATATTCTTAAGATAGAATCTGGCAATGGATAACTGAAAACCATGGAAGGAAAAACTGCAGGTAACTGGGGACACTGTATCTCTCTCTCTCTCTCTCTCTCTCTCTCTCTTATATTTATTATACCATTATATCTGCATACAGATATAATGGTATTAGTAACATATATCATTCCTATAATCTAAATTTCATTTTCTTTAGTCTTAAAAAGCTGATATGTATTGTCATGTGGTCTTCATTGTGATCATATATAAAATTGACAATTTATGTAACTATTTCCCTCCTTGACATTCAGGCCATCAAAAACACTTCTTATCAAAGCTGCACAAATACTCTCTGATACAAACACATAAAGACACAGATACATCAAACATATGCATGCTTGCAAATAAATACACACAAAAAAATTGTTTCATTGAAAAAGAGTATATAATTCTGACATTCAGTAGTAATATTTTCTTTAAATATTGATTATAATGATGTGAAACATTTTACTAAGAGCCTCAAAAATAAAAACAATAATGAAATAAAATTTTCATATTATTTAAATCAAAGGAGAAAATTTCTTTTATTTTTTTATTGTTGGTCATTCAAAATATTACATAGTTCTTAATACATCATATTTCACAGTTTGATTCAAGTGGGTTATGAACTCCCAATTTTACACCGTATACAGATTGCTGTATCACATCAGTTACCCTTCCATTGATTGACATATTGCCTTTCTTGTGTCTGATGTATTCAATAGGACAGACAGCAGAGAAAATTTCTTTTAATAAAAATATTTAAACTTAGTGTCATAGTTACATCAAAATTATGTTATTGCTAAAAAAGTTTTCATGTTAAATGTATCTTTATATATTTTCTTAAGCCTAATAAAAATCACTAGCAGCACAATTAAAAAAAAAACAAATGCAGGTGTGTGTGTGTGTGTGTGTGTGTGTGTGTATGTGTGTGTCTGGTCTTTGTTTCCTTCTGTTTTTTCTCTTTTATCCAGGTACAACCCTGCCATTTACCTCCTCCAAATGAAAAAAAACATATATATGATCAGTCAACAAATATATGAAAAAAAACATTTCCAGGAATCAGGGAAATGCGAATCAAAACTACACTGAGATTTCATCTCATTCTAGTCACAATGGCAATTACCAAGAATACAAATAGTGTGGTGAGGATGCGGGGAGAAAGATAYATTCCTATATTGTTAGTGGGACTGCAAGTTGGCGCAACCATTCTGGAAAGCAATCCAGAGATTTTCTAAAAAACTAGGGATGGAACCACCATATGACCCAGCTGTCCCACTCACTCCTCAGTATTTATCTAAAATATTTAAAATCCGCATGATATAGATACAGCCACATCAATATTTATAGCAGCACGATTCAAAGTAGCTAAGCTATGGAATTAACTTAGATGCCCTTTAACAGATTAAAGGATAAAGAAAATGCTTAGGAGATATCTAACTCCAGAGCTCACAGGACTAGTAAACTACCAGGATATTCCATAACTGTATTAGAAAGTCACTCTATAGCAGGAGGGTTAAGCTACACATTCACTTATAAAAAATGACAACCTTGAAACATCAAAATACACACAAATCACTTGATTTTCTGACACAAAAGGCTTCACTACCCTTTGAAAAAAGTCTAGAATTCAAAATTAATAATGTCTAATGTCCAATAAAAAGACACTAACGTGAAGAAAAAAATTGTGACCCACAACTAGCAGATGAATCAACTAATAGAAACAGATTCATCAGGTTCTCACTGAACAACTCAGACTGGCCTCTAACTTAACAGTCCTCTTGCCTCAGTCCTGCAAGTAGCAGGGATTACAGACATTTGATAACATAGCAGCTACAACACCATTTTCATAGTAGCCATTACTACAGAATTCTAATTGTGTAGTATTATTACTATAGATAGAGAACAATAAAAATTAAGACTTGGTATCACTTCTACCTCTAGCTCTGATAAAGTCACCATGAATAACTAACAGTTTGATTTCTCATGAAGGRTCTGGTTTATCTAGTAAGACAGAACAGCAGCATGTTCTTTCCCTCTGTGCTTCTTCTGAGTACTATGACTTATAGACACCTACAAAAAACTGCAGAGTAAAAAATCTACTTTAAACTACTAGAAAAAAAATTGAAAAAAAGAAGCATCAAGTATCCTGCTTAGAAAATTCACCATGACAGCTGACAATAATAATTCATGTCTAAACTCTGAAACACTGTAATAGGGAGCACTATAATATTTAATACTTGGGCATATTATAGTTTGTCAAAGATTATAATACAGAAAAAGGTTATTTATTATGTAAGTTTATTATAAATAATAGAGAAATGCTCTCTCTATATATACACATATATTTATGTATGTATATCCATATATATGTGAGTGTGTGTGTGTGTGTGTGTGTGTGT